TTCTATTTCAGTAGACAGGAATGGGACAGTGGCCAAGGAACTATGGAAGGCAGCTCTGGTTTCACTCTGAATGGAGTCATCACTAGAATGGTAGGTAGACTCGATGCAGGAGCAGAAAATGAGTTCACAACTTGATGAGTTTGGAAGATGATGGAATAGAAGAGGTATAACTTAATTGAAGGTTCTGAAACAAATGCAAAGCTCTCCTTTTTCTCGGTGTCTATTGCCAAAAATAAATAGAGATTAGTGAAATGCAAAAGATTGACTCACTGTGTGGAGGAAATGGGAACATAGTGGGAAGCATGCAAGAAAGCCTAGCAGCAAGAAAACAGACTATGAAACTATAATAGAGAGAAGGGCACTTTTAGGGAACAGAAAAATACTTGCCTAAGTGAGAATCAACTATCACATCTATGTGGAAATGATACTTGATCTTAGTCAGAAGGCTAAGAAAAGATTATGTGTAGAAATTATCTCAGTTATAAAAGCCCATTTAAAGGTAAAAGGCACACAAGATCATGCAAGTTCTTCATGGAATCTACCAAGAAGCGCAACTTTTGTATGCTATTTGTCCTGCGATAACAAATACCCTGTTTGGAAATCATTCTATGAAAGAGAAAACCTGTCTAAATTTGCTTAATAAAGTCATTACCTGTCCTAGAGAAGACACAAATGTAATGATCACTATAAAAATGGGGGGTTATTCTTTCTGCTTTAAGGGATCAATCAAGTCCCCAAATTCTTTTATAAAAATTCAGGAATAAAAATTTGTTTATAAGATTGCAGGGTCAAGGGTGGCTTATACCTTTAAATAGGTTTTTATAACTGATAATTTCTACACATAATCTTTTCTTGGCCTTCAGACTAAGATCAAATATTGTTTCCACATAGATGTGATGAGGTACATGGACATTAAAGTCTCATAGCAGCTGCTGTGCTGACAAAGAGAGAGGGTGGCAGGAAGTTGCTCAGGGTCTTTACTTAGGGTCTTTAAATACAACAATGGTTTACTGTCAGTCCAAAGACCGAGCATCTTAAATGAGGCCACTTCACTAGTGACTAATGGGACTATAGAATGAGAGAGCTAGGGATGGTCACTGTTATACATAGTTGCAAACATGTTTCTATGGATAAAAGCAGGGAGTATATGTGTAAACCCCCATTCTGAGCCAATTATAAAAAAAATATATTTATTTCATTGCCACTTATCAGTCACCAAACTGGGAATGCTCTAGTTTTTGTAGCAATGGCAAGCTATTGTTTCAAAGTCACACAATATAGAAAATGTTCATAGAAAATAAATACAGGCGTTAAGAGCCAAAGAGGAGTTGAAGATGCCTCCAAGACTCTTGGTCTGAAGAATATGATTTCACTAAGTGCAATGAGGAAAATGGGTCTTATGAGGGAGTCTGGAGACAGGTTGTAGATATGTGGAAACGAAAGTGACTCTGAAACACCCCAGTGGAGATGGCAAGATGGCTGTTAACATGGGCTGTTAGAGTTGGTGTGAGTGAGGTCTGGATCAACTGGTGATTAAATATTTTGACTGGCACAGGATGTCACATATTTGTAATACTACTTTCACTGGGATCTGTTACCTTGTGCATAGATGCCCATCTTTCCCATTAATAAATACATAATACATATTTTCAGGCTTGTTTTTACTAGAAATCCACTTTAATAATAAAATTGTTATATTCGAAGTTCTCTGGAATTGGTAGTCGTACATAGTTTCTGTAGCAAGGTTTATATGCGTAAGGTCTTCTTTAGTTAAAATGGGTGTCTTAGACCTCTGTGCCTGGCTTTGGCCATCTCTGTAGTGTTTATAAAGCTGTCCTTTTATTGCACAACTTCTCAGTTCTCACTGTGTGTATAACCTTGGACACTAAGTCCTTCCATGACATTAATGGAGAAAAAGAAGCACTCTGTTCTGAGCTGCTACTTGCTTTACTGGCATTAGCACTTATTTGCTGGCTTCTATGTATTGTCCAGTTTGCATACATAGATACAGCATCACATATATGTGTACACAAGTACATTTACATATGCTCGTCAACATCCATAGACATACACACAGGGATATTGAAGATGTAAATCTCATTGTAAGCAAGGACTTTTGCTTGTTTTTCTTTGGAACTCACTCATTTCCAAGTGCATACTGAATGATACACCAAATAGGGCTGGCCCTTTCATTTGTTATGTAAATGATTAGCCCATATTAAATATCACATCATGATTACTACCCAAGCTTTTATCTTTACAATCACAGATTGCCACTCTAGGAAAGATGTTACCATGATCCCACTGCATAATGTTGAAGTTGGCCCTTTAATTGCTGAAACACCTTACCCAGTCACAAGCCTGGAGAGATAGAGCTGAGGTATGAAACCAGATGACCTCATCCCACAATTAGAACATGTCCCTTCCAGGTCGTCTGTCTTTTACTGAGATAGTGCATGAGCCTGAACATCCATACACATCAATTCAGAAGCTTGCCAAAGAAAGCCTTCAGGCATCAGCAGACATGCCATGCTTTCTTCTCAGACTAACTGTGAAAAAAATATAGTCAATATCGCTAATGGCAGTTGCTGATTAGTACCTGAAAATTCCTTAGGCTAATTTTCTCCTATGTATATTACTTTGGCAATTTCATCATTGAGAAAGTTTTAAAATTGCTTTGGAGAGGTGGAGGTGAGACTTCAGTTTCTCTAAAAGTCACCTCAACTGGTGAGATTTTTTCTGAAAAAAAAAAAAAGAGTGACTGAAGGCCGCCCCTGAGAGGGATTGTAGCCAAGACACCGAGGCCTGTAGAGCCTCTCTTTTCATTCCTGAGGTAGGCCTACTGAAATTCCCATTTTCATCAGGGAATTTTGTTATTCATACATATTAGGACCGAGAACTCATAGAAACTCACTATGCTATCAATCTATACAGCAGAAGAGATGGAGGAGTTGTGATGAGAACTGCAAAGCTGTAATTTTGACATGATAACTGCCATCATGACTCAAGTAAGGAGCATGTGTCAGGATCCATGGCAGGGAAGACTTCAGAGACAGACATGCCAAGGATAACATTTAAAGAGAATGTTCTTTTAGACCATTTTTGAGGGTTTACATTGCTGCTTCTACTACTCCAGTGCAACCTAACACAGAAAAACATAAAGAACTTTTAACTGTATACACCTCACTCTGAGCATGTGTATTGGAAGTGAGAAGGAGGGTAGATAAGTGTGTGTTGGAACAAAATTGCTTTCCCATTAAAGATTTTTCTTTATTTTTGGTGGGCACGTCTCAGTGTGGATAACATGTCAGTATCTGGGAAGCCTCAGTTTCTATCCTCTACAGTCAGAGCACATGCGTGTCATAACTTTTACCTTCAGAACTCTATAGGAACAATTTGAACCCCACACACATTTTTGGATATTTCTCTAAGGCAGCACAACTTTCTTTCACTCATATATGTCTTCAGAACACATCTTCAAAATAGCAGGAGTTAAGCAAATGCACTTAACAAAAGTCCACACATTTGGAGTATAGTATAATGGATATTCACCAATCTACTCATTTAATGAAATGTGTTTAATATTGCTAGAGCAGTGTAGATACAGAGATGAATATGGCGACAAAGAAACACATGATCAAAATTGGAGAAGCGTTCCCTCTGACTGGGAAGAAAAAACAGTGTAAAATCAGAGGACAAGAGAGGTTCTGTGCTCACCAGGTCTATGGGCAGGGGCCAGGAAGCAAAGGAGCATACTCAAGGGCACACGGGAGAGGAGAAAAGCCTCATTTCAGGTTGTTGAGGTAATTTAATATGAGAGGAACATGGAGTAGAACAGGAGAAAGTGAGAGATAGACTATCTGACAGATGGAAAAGGAAGAAGTCAGGCCTTGGACATGTACACACTTCCTTTTATAAGTTTTGTGGTTCCAGAGCTTTTTGTTTGTTTTTGTTTGTTTGTTTTGTTTTTTACTTTAGTCTACTTGTGTGTGTGTTTGTTTTATACTTTAGCCTACTTGTGTGTGTCTGCATGAAAGGCTCCAGTCATGTGAATGAACTGAAAGAAGTTTTTTTTTCCTTTCAGCAACTCCTGCTTTCCTTTTTTCTGTTCCAGAATATTCCGTCCAAAGCACAGCTCCAAAGCCTCCATGCCCTCAGTCCCCTATGCAGCACGTCTCCAGTACATCATTAACTGAAAGGTCTGTAGCAAGACAGGAAGGAGCCTGCCAGTTAAGGCAGACCAAAATTCTGGAGGAAAAACTAGTTTAATTATTTAAACAAAATTTGAGCTCAGCCTATGAATATTCAATCTGAAAGCCAGATTGTCCTTTACACCAATACAGAATGCTTGGTGTACAAGCAACACAATTTTATTTTATTTTGCTAAGAATTGTTTCTTTTCTTTCTCTCTTTCTTTCTTTTTTTTTTTTTTTTTTTTTGCTTCTGTGAGAGTTTGTAGCACTCACAGGCAGATGTGACTCACCATGGCCTACACAGCTAAGCTCATGTTTAGGAGACATTGCTGGAAAATCATACCCATAGGAAACAAGAAATCAAGTTGTCAAAAAAAATCAACAGTGACCTAACTATTCAGATAAATACAGTAAATTTCTGGCAGTTAGGCTACAGGAAAGGCTAGGTTGGCCCCTGGCATTCTGTGGGTAGGAACTTCCTCCTCTAGTGGGAGAAACTTCTCTAGAGGAAGAAGGGCAATTTATATACATAATAAGGCCAATCTGCCCCACATCTTAGTCACTGCCTGCCTACTTGAGACATCCTGGGAAATCCCAGTTACATGGAAGCCAATAAAAGTTAAAATCACATTTCTCCCCGTGCATCCCTATTCTGTGTGGTTAACATATAGTCACTTCTGCTGGAATCTGAAGAGAACTTGTTGCTAACAGAGACATATGCTTTCCAAAGTTGGAGTGTTCTCATTGTAAAAGGCACCACAAGAGATTTTCTTTTTCTCCTTTTCTTTCTGCTTTACAAGACTTGGAGAAAAACAACTTCCCTGTCTTCCCAGGACATGGCTGGACTGAGTGCAGCTGGAGCTTACATGGAGCACACAGAGGTAAGAGCATGTGTCAGGTTAAAGTGGTCATACCCAGAGCTAAGAAACAATGGTAGAGGGTTCGAGAAGCAGAGAGCATCAGTAGCTGAGCTGCCTTCTTCAACCTGCTCAGAATTTGAACCAGTGTTAGCTGACATATAAAAGGTCACTGATGACCCTGTGTTGCCTATGAACACCCTGGGCTGGGCTGCTTCTAATAAACGACAGGACCGTATCTCCACAGATTCCTTTCCCTATGCGATTTTGTTCTTCTGTAGAAGAGGTTAGTTCACTGTAAAGTCTAAAAAAAAAAGGGCTGTAAAGATGTGACTACAAATGTTATTTAGCAGTAAAAGACTTTTAGTATTAATATATTCAACTGGAGCTATAATTTCTTCAGTTATTACAGATACATTAGCTATCTCAATGAATTAATTATTATGCTTTCTTAGTTTTATTATATTTGTATTCATTTACTTTGAATGTGTGCATACACATATGCTAAAGTGATTGTGGAGGCCAGGGGACTGACTACCTGCCAGAGTTAGGGCTTTTCTTCCACAGTGTGGGTCCCAGAGATCAAACTCAGTTATTTGACTCAGTGGCCTGTGAATTACCCACTCTGCTAACTTGCTCGATTATCTCTAATTCTTCTTAAAGAGTTATCCAAGACATAATGAGAAACTAAATGGAATTCATTTATTCATTTAGATATTTAATTTCCTGTATCACAACTTGCATGTCTCAGCAGTTGACTCGAATGTTTTAGTAGAAGAAGAAGTACCCAGACATTTTCAACACAGACTTCATTTCACAGAAAAGGTGAATAAGGAATTGTTTAGAAGTATTATTTGCTTTATAAGTAGGCCCTTTCCAGAACACAATGACTGGCACAATACAATGAAATACAATGACAATTTATCTTTGTATTTACTATGATATCAGATGACTTTGCTAGTTGAGGAAAAAACTGAAAAGAAAATCAAACACACACAAAAACTTACTCCAAATACGAACACCTTTGTGTTTGTTTGACTCTGCTTGGTTTTAATATGTAACTGAGGCATGAAAACCATGGTACAAGGCCGAGTAGTCTATCTAGAAATGCCTGGTGATAGATTTCTTTCATAAACCCTTTCTAGCCCTCTGTTCTATCTTCTCTTTTCATGTCTTCAATTATAACTACTATTTCAGAATCTCGAACATTAGTACTCCATGGGATGGTTACAAGTAGACTTTCTTAAAGATTTAGTATAGAAACCTTATCAAAATAAAAGTCAAGATTCAACGTGTCTTCCTTTTTTTTTTCTTTTTGTATAGAGAACATTGCTGGGTGGTTGGAGGGTGCATGGAACACCAGATCCCAGACCGTGCAAGTGTTTGCTACTCACAATTTTTGTATCACAAATAGGAAGATTTTTGAGGACCTAAAGATCGTATTTCTAAGCATGATGTTGGATGTTAGGATACTTATCATTAGGGGGAAATTGTGAATCTATAGGACTGGTTTAGTGCTCAGGCTGCTTTGCTCTTCACAGGCTCCCCTGTGATGTTATCATGCTATTGGGGAGAATCACTAGTTTAGAATCAAACTCAGGACATCTCTTCCTTGCTCAGCTCAGAGCATGCTGGGTAGGGTCAGCTTATAGCATTTTTTAGACTTTGTGTTTACTCAGTTCTAATCCAGTATGGGCCCAGTTTCTTAGAATCATCCCCCAAAAGAGAAACTCCAATAATAATGCCAAGCATTGCTACCACTTAGGTTTTGATGTCACATTGCTGGTTTAGCCAAATGGCCTCTTGAGGTAATCACCTTGTTTATTGACCAGCAGAAGACTGTCCTTAGAATGTGGTCTGATGAGAACACAACTCTAAATTAAGAGAAGTTTAAGAACAAAGGACAGCATCTATTCTCTGTAAATATGTTATCAATCCCTGAAACATTGAGATATGAATAAGTTAGAAAAATCATTTTATTAATCATTTCCAATGAAAAGAAGTCTTTGAAATTCCAAGCTGATTGCCAGTCTTTTCTCCAACCACTTTGATGAAGATGGATATGTCTGAACAATGTTTCTTGGTTGTTCATGAATGGAATTCAGGGTTGTGGTTCATGGTAATGATTGCTCCTGAACCTGAGCACAGAACTCAGGACTGCCCTGATCACCCAGTTCACTGAATTACTTAATGACCTAGATAGGATACATATAGACTATTGAATTACAGCAGGGAAGCGTTCCTTTCTGTAAGCTTTCCTGGAGGTGGTCCATTTTGCTAAATGGCAGGTAGCTTTTAGAACTTTAGCTCTTCTTTGAATGATTATCTCAATCCTGGGTGGAAAGTAACTGAAGACAGGGTTTTTAGTCCTCATTATGACAATAACTTATTTTTAGTCTAAACGTGTGTTCCAATGGCCCACCTAAAAAGCTAGCTAAATTAGATAGGGTCAGATAATCTCTACCTACTTCTATAACATAATTGTGTAATAGCCATACTGGCAGTTAATTTGTTCATAATTTGTAATCAATTTGATGCATTTTAGCTGTATATGTTTGTCTTGTTTACATAAAATTTATTAGTGACTTGTTTCAGTGATGAATTAAAATAAGTGAACAGTATATTAGGCTGGTCCATCAGCTTGTCCCTGTGATGATGGTTTTGTCTATTAAGTGCTAGGAATCAAACTCAGGGCCTTGTACATGATAAGCAAATTATAGAAAATATTTTTGCAAAATACAAGATTAGGCTAGATCAATGAGGTTTTTGAAGATCAGAATGTCCTCTCTTTATTCTATTCACTGCTTAATCTCAACCTTTTTTTTTATTAATATTAAAGTGTGCTCCACCAAGAAGAAAGGACTTGACAAATTCCCTTGAACAAAAGATAAAGCACTTGGAAAAACAGAGACAAGAGGTAATGTAGAAATATTAGATAAAGTCACGTAGCCATGTATTAAGACTGAGACTAAAACAAGATATTCTTACTGTCTTATTTCTGTCATTAAATCACAGTATTTATCTCTAGAATACTGGATTACACTATTTTAAAATAAAAAGGTTTTAGAATTCATGTTTGTGCTATGACAACTGGAAAAGTGTTGGTGTTATGAATGTGGTAGTTATAATCCAGCTTTTGCATCTATTGATATTTTCACCATGTGCATCATGGGAGTTTATTGCCAATGACTTTCTAAACGGGCACATGAAGAAATTTGATTTGTTAAAAGCTTATGCACAGTAGATTTGTTTGGTGACTTCCTGAGCTGACTACCTTAGTGAATGTGAGTTATAAATACCCGTCAGGGGCTGGAGAGAGGGTTCAGTAGTTAACATACTTGTTGCTGCTGTACAGGGCTCAGGTTCGGTTCTCAGCACCCATATGATGGTTCTTAACCCTCTGTAACTCCAATTCTAAGGAATCTTATGACTTCTTCTGACATCTGATGGTACCAGCCATGTGTGTGGTCCACGTACATACATGTATGCTACATACCCAAACAGATAAAATAAAAATTAAATGTTAATCTTAAAAAGAAGAAAAGTACATAAAGTACAATGCATTAAAAAATGTGATTTCTAAAACACTGCTGGGAATTAACAAATGTTGTTAGTTGTACTGTTGGCATGTTCCTCATTTAATGGGTCTGAGAACTCTTCTTGACAGAGGAGTTAAAAAGCAAAGCAGATGCATCCCACATGAGTTCTGTGGTTTGTTGGCTGACTCATTCTGTGCATTTCAGCTTCCTTGTTTTCTTCTTCAGAACCTTCTCCTACCCTTTGATGCTGGGAAGTTTTGTGTCCTTCTGGAAAATCACTAACCTATTGCAGAATGTCACCAGGGCATAGACCTGCATGGCAATGACCCAAGTATCTTCATAGTCTATTCTACAGCTGCATATTAAGTAAATATGAGAGTTTTCAGGACAAGAGTTTTCTATTAACTGCCACTCTGGATTAGGTTTTTTTTTTTTATTTTGATTGTATTTAGGTGGAAGTTTTGGATTTTTATTTAGTTTATTTATTTATTTATTTATTTATTTATTTATGGACATTGTGAGTAACTTTTTGATATCTGCGTCATGCTGCTAACTGCAGAGATTTTTTTTTCAACACAGAACTGTGAATTTTTCTTACCAGAAAATGAAACAGACCAAGATGTTTTTTCTTCTAGTTATCAAAGAGTTTTAAATGCATTTCTAAATATTGTCTTATAACAAAAATAATTAATCCCAAAAATCTAAACTTTCTGAATGATTCCAAAAGGAATCAAAAATATGTCTGCATTCTAAAGTATGTCACTGCAAGCAAATGATAACAATTAACACAGTCTGTACTTCAAGATAAACTCTTCGAAAAGCTGTAACAAGAATTCATTCTGGTAGAGATAGTAAACAAACAAGAAAAATATGTAAAGAGAGCTTTCAACTAATAATAATTCTTACAGAATATAAATACAAAGTTTCACTAGATTCTGGCTGAATTAATCAAAGATGAAAACAAAAATAAGTAGGGAAGGTAGAAGTTTCTAATAAACATCTCAGCTGATTTGTTAAGACATGGCTTCTTTAGACCTAATGTGTTTTGTTGTTGTTGTTTTGTTTTGTTTTTATTCATGAACTAGATATTGTGATATGAGAATGTGTCCATCTAAATTCCCAGCAGGGGTACTAAGGGGGGCACAGCCCAGCACTGCTACCTACAATTTGAGGTATTCCCTTGGCTTATGGGGACCACCACTCAGAGGAAGCCAAATACTTGACTTCACCACAGAAAAGAATTTCAGGATTAGCCAGGATGAAGTTGAGTTGGAATTTATGACAAAAGAAGTTGAACATAGACTTCAACAATGAGAAGTTTTCAGGGAAAGAATAAGGTATATTCTTATTGTACAGAATGTGGATGTAGACTCCTCATAAGAGAGCTGTGCTCACTCTAATGGTAGCTATGTAAACTATTTTGGTGACTCAAATTGCAACTCACAGAGCTGCATAGACACATTTTTTCCTTTACTTGATTTGATAAGCCAGGTTATAGGATGGCTCTTGAGGTGTCTAGGGTAGGACTGTACACTTTAAAAATAAACAGTGCTTCATAAAGTTTGCAAGAAAGATGTTAAGGCACACCTTGTTTTCCACTGTAAATGGAGTTTCGGATGAGACTCCTAGACAATTATAAGTTTGCAACTAGGAAAGAGAAAAACCATTCACATTCAGGCCTTGAGCATGACCGTTTTAACAATCTTACTTGAAACCTCTCTAAAAGGAAAATTTTCTTTTTACTGTCTTACAGTAGATGTTGGAGTTCTTAGCTTAGCTCTTGAGAGGCTCCCACCAGACTCTGGTGTGAGTCTGCTTTTCTACCCAAGGCCTCACAATCCTCTTTTTAGCCTGATATGGAAACCATCCCAGTCCAATCAGAGCTTCCTGGGAGAGCTGCTTTTATCTATGGCTTCGAAAATCTGAATAAGTTCAAATAGTGATCTCATATTTTCAAAACTTCCAAGTAGATTTAAATCTTTTGTTGAATCACCAATTTTTAATAATTTCAGCTCCTGGATGTCAATCAACAGTGGGACCAACAATTCCGAAATATGAAAGAGTTATATGAAAGAAAAGTAAGAAACTCTCTCCTTGGGAATTTCTTTAATCTTGATAAAGCCAGAAGACAATTTTGTGGATCTCTAACTACTGGTAAACGAGGGACAGGATTCTACCATCATGATTGGTTTCTTTGTCCTAAGGATACAGTGTCAGTCAGTTGCTGGAAAGGTAGCACAGGTTCTGTCCCAAGAGTTCTCCTGAGTGCTCCCAGCTCTGAGTCATTACTTCTAAGTTAAGATTGAGGTCTGATCAGTGAGAAATCCATGAGAAAACCCAGCTACCTTCCGTACATAGAGAAACAGCGACAAGTGGTGAGAGACAGAGTGGAAGGGAACTACCCCTTCTGCTTTCTCTAAAGCATATGCAGTGGAAAAGCTTTTTAGCCAGAAAGGAACTTTTTGGGGAATTTCTTTTTTGATAAGTTAAAGTCGTTATTATTTGAAAGTACTTCATTTTCAAAAAGACAGAAGAAAGTAAATTCCCCTAAATAATTCAGAACGAAGAAAACTGACCACAGTAATACAACAGCCCTTGCTTTTTCTTCCCCATTTGATACTCAGAAGAGTTAAATTTAGAAAACAGGAAGATAGTATGCCACTACAGTTGTCTGGCCACCTAGTTTTATCCATCCTGGAGCTGTCTGTGGCTCCAGATTGTAACAACAGTGTTCCCAGAAAGAACTTCTCAGAGTGGCCAGTGAACCCAGAGGTCAGAACAAGTACAAATCTCAAACTGGAGGAAGAACCACGTCTAAGGTTCTCTCTCTGAGATTTAATTTCGCAGATCCCAAGCCTGGATGGTTCTGCCTGCCTCCTGACCACATGCGGCTTTTTCTTGCCTTACGTCCTAGAGTCCGGGCACATCTGGAGAGCTTGGAGCCCAGCTTTCTAGACTCTAGCTCCTCCAAGTAGGAAGTAGAAGTGGTTTGAAGAAAGGAGAAATGAGCAGGACACCATTTGGGAATAAATTCTGTGTTTTCTCTGTAGAGCAAATCCCCTTTAAAACGCAAATGTGATGATATTATGTAGGGAAGAGCTCTTCCTTGGGGGGTCCTCTGTTAGTGTGGGGTGAGGCGCTTTTGATCCCAAGTGCCCTGGGCTGGACACCTTGTGTGATTGTCTGCAATTGTCTCTGATGATCCCCCTAAGGTCCTGGAACTGAAAACTAAACTGGCGGCCACAGAAAATACTCACAACCTAGAGAAAGAACAGAAGCAAAGTGTGACAGAGGGCGACAGGCAGCTCGAGGTGGGTGGCCTCTGGTTGAGCAAAGTCCAGTTAAGAAAACCGGCTCCCCCCCCAAAAAAAAAAAAGAAAAGAAAACCGGCTCCCTTAGGAGCCACAGGCAGGCACAGAGCCCCAGAGTGGAGAAGGGAGGAGTTAAAGGGAGGGAGGGAGTCGTGCCTCTAGTGACCAGGAAATAACAAAGTGTCTGATTGGATGAGAACGTTGCCGGGTTTTGCAGCCTTTTCTGTGACTCTTTTTATTGCTAATGACAAAGTTTCACTAAATCCGGCAGTCTTAACTCTCTTGCCCAGAATTGTTTACTGACCCCGGTCTGGCCTTGAAACTGCTATCTGCTCTCCTGGCTAAGGGTCCCAAGTGCTGGGGTTATAAAGTACTGACCACACCTGGGTACACCTGGGTAAGCAGACTACTTTAAGAACCACTTCATATTCAGTCTCTCATTCACAATCCTGAGTACAGCCTTGAGCAGGTCAAGAACATGGGCACCTGAACCCAGGCTTCTGCCTGCAATGAGAGGGGTTTCTCCCTATGCAAGCTTTGTCTTCATTCGTTGGACTTTATGATAAGGTATATGAAAGGAGAATGTTAAACCCCAATGATCTTTCTCTGAGGCTATAGTAAGAATAAAAACAATTATACGTATTTGCAAGGAAAGCTTTTCACTACCATACACTTAAGTGCAGAAGCCCAACAATACTGTTAGCAGAACTTCTAGAGTGAAGTCTGTGTCCTGACACATAAGGCTCAGACACTATTCTCAACAGGGAAATTAAAGTGACAAATCATTGTGAAAACCTGAGAAAGGAAATTAGTCACTGTCTGTACCCACATTGGGAAGAACAAGGAGAAAGAGATTCGGTGACCTTCAAGTTCACATTCTGGGTTCTGACATGACGATCAGTTTTAAACAGATGTCAAGAGGTGTTCACCACTAAGCAGTCCTGGTTAAGTTGTGGTTTTTGCTGGATACTCACTGAATAATCATTGCCCTTCTTCAGTCTTCTGTGGGAATCTGACAAGTTCCCTCTCTTTCTCTCTCTCTCTCTCTCTCTCTCTCTCTCTCTCTCTTTCTCTCTTACACACACACACACACACACACACACACACACACACACACCCCTATCTGTGAAATCTCTTTTGCCTGCACCAGGGTTCTTTCCCAGCATGAGAATCCTTGGGAACCTTATCTTAGTAGTCTGACACTCAGAGAACATGTATGTCTCTCTGAGTATCTTCACTACTACCAGGAACAGTATTCACCATACCATAGCCCAGGTTTGCCCACCTTGCTCAGGTTACTGTCAGGGTGAACCAGGAAACAAGGTTGTGACTAATCCTTTTCTGTCACGCAGCACACACTCACTTCCTTCTCCAGCTACACCCTAGCCAGGAATTTCAGTATTTTTTCTGTATGTACTTGGGAACTTTTTCTAGATATAATACAATACTATTCTCTTAACCTGTGTTAAATAGAAAATGATTAACTCATCTAAGTCCATAGGCTCAGCCCCTTGAAGTGCTAATGAGATGTTTTCCCTTTTAAAGGAAATAAGTTGCTTGAGATTGATTTCTTAAATATAATAACTAGATTGGAAAGTGACTGAAATAACATTTTAACCACTATGTTAGCTACTTCTCATCTTGAGTTATCTATATTCTGCAATATTTATTTTTCTAGACTGAATTCTCATTAAGGATCCAATTTACTCCACAAAGCATGCTATCTATTGTATAAACCGAAGAACTGAGAGACAGGAGTCAGGATCCTCAGTTACATAAAACAGAGAACTTCCTGGAGATTGTCTGAGGCACCGACAGCCATTCAGAGGCTGGAGTTTTGCCTTTTAACTGCAGTTATGACAATGCTATACTCTGAATATTTATCTGCAGTGAAGTTTCTTATTTGTCTAAAAGTTATTGTCCTTGTTTCTGGCATAGAATAGTACAAGATTAGCCTTGAGCTACTTAGTATCAGTTTATTGCAGTGATTTTTCCCCCAGGTTTTAGGCCCTTTAAATGCTTTTAACCAATTCTTTAGGAATAGGAAGTAGACTACGCACCACACCCACTGATTTGACTATTGCATATGAGGATTAAGGTCTGCAAGTTTTACCCCTAGGATCACCACAATAGCATTAAGTTTTGATGCATTCAGTAACCCTGTCCCCTACGCAAAGAAGATTGCTCAGAAACAATGTTAGAGAAAACGTTGCCAGTCCGGTTTGATAACTAGTCCGGGGGATAACTATCTGCCAGAAGCAGCCAGTCTCTGAGGATTTCTGTCCTATTATTCCTTTTGGTAATTTTTGACTTGGATCTTGTTTTCTTGCCCTTTTCTTCAGAAGGAAAAGGACATCTTAAGGAAAGAATTACAAGCACTGAAGAAGGAGAATAAGCTGTTGAAGGAAAACAATGCTCTGGCCAATAGGAAGAAAGAATATTATGCATGTGAAATTAAACGCCTCAATAAGGTACCGGCGCAGGTGAAGCAAGGAGGGTCAAAACAAAAGCCTCAGCAGGAGTCTTTCTGAGTCACAGCAGAAGCAGGGCATCAGTGAGGTTCCTCTCTCCTCTGCTCAGGATCCTCTCTCCTGTTTACACAGAACACCTAGCCACAGCATGTAGCCATATTTGGCTAGGATGCTTTTGGGAATTTTTTGTCCCTGCAAAGGACCATGAAAAGTATAAATAAAGAGAAATAATAGTCATCAGTAAGAGCTTTTAAAAAAAAAGAACCACATAACTGCACGGGGTGTTTGTGAACAATAACGTATATCTTGGTCAACCACAAAAGCTTCCTGAGGAAGCAAGCTGTTCTTTAATGTGATAGCTCCGGAGCTGGCTATGATGCATGCATGCATGATGTATGGAAGCACGCTCAGGGCCAAATTCAAAGCTGAGATATCTGCTGTCTGGGGAGCAAGCCTGAATCCACTGTGAATAGGAACCAGCCACAGAAAGAGGCAGGGCTTTGGGGATCCACAAGTGGCTCAATAGCTAAGCTCGGAGGAAAAAGTGAGTTGTTATAAGGGGATGACAATGAGTGTGTAAATGTGGACATATGTTTGTATATGTCTGTGTATGGATATATGTGTATCTATGGATATATGAGGGCATGTATGAATGAATATATGTGTATGTTTTATATATATATATATATATATATATATGATATATGCATGCATGTGTGTATATATATGTGTGTATATGTGTACTAGTATGTATAAATATGTATGTCTGTGTATATATATGTGTGAGGTATGTATGTATATATGTATGTATATATATGTGTGTGTATGTGTGTATGTATATAAGTGTGTGCATATATGAATGTATATGTACGTGTATATGAATATATGTATGTATATGTTTGTGTATATAGATGTATGTATGTATATGTGTATGTATGTGTTTTGTTTCATGAACTAATGTGATATTCTGGGGAATGAGAACACTAATTTAGCACAAAAACATAAATCCTGTACTGTGGTTTTTCCAAGAGCTAAGCCAAGTGTAAACACAGGCATGTTGAAGAATGTGGATGAATTGAGATATGCATCACTCAATTAGTTATTTCATGACCAAAGTAACAGAAATGGTCTACAGCTAAAGAAAGTAGCAGGGCTGATCTTTAAAATGTGTGTAGTCCTGTATGCCAGCTCATGCTCAGAGACCCTGTTTAAAGACTCCAGTGAGCTGTGTGCTGATGTCTTTGACAAGATGTTTACTAGCCAGACTTGCCATTAGGTCTGCTTGCAGCACAAGTCATTCTTCAAGTGAAAACGGAAAGGTAAAGAAAGACTTCATGAATTGTATTTCATCTTTCAGAGAGATAGAAAATGTTCAGGGAAAATATATGTTCTTTCTCTTTTATTCTCTACTGGAAAAATTACTTCCCATGAATCAGAGGAGATAGGATACCTATGATCACATTTGTGCTCTGGGTCGTTTTGCCATATGAAGGCAATAAACAAACAAAAACCAAACTAAACCCAAAACCCAAACAACAAAAACCTATAAATAGCCAAGACCTGTATTTTGGTTCCTTTCCATGTTTACATGGTGTTTTTCCACAATTGGTGATTGTGGTTGCTAGAACCTATTTAAATTCAGAGAAATTGGCAGCTGCTTTGCACAACTATAATCTCAACACTTGGGTGGCAGAGGTAGGAGGATCTTCTGCAGCTTCAGGCCAGCCTAGTCTCTATAGCAAGCTCCAGGCCAAGCAGGTGTGTCTCTAAAGAAAAAAGTAAAAGTAGGTTTGCAGTTTGGTACATAGAAACACAAAATCTCATCAAGAAAAAAATAGTCCTAACAAAATTCATGACTTTACACAAATATATTTTCAACAATTATTTTTCTCTCACCTCAATTAAAATGATATGCCCTCACCCTAGATATATCTACTTTAATTTTTTTTCCTGGCATTTCTGAATGTCACCAAGTATATAATGATGTCTAGCACTTACCAGCCCTTATTTACTGACCCACTGTTGATTGTGAGCTCCTTGAGGTAGGTGTGGGCATGGTAGAAGCTCCGGTTACCACAACGTGGTACACAAATAGAGTGTGTGGCCACTGTGCATATAAGGGCTTATAAATATGCCTTGTTTCTCTTTAAATAGAAGAAAAATGAAGTCTTAGGTTAAAAACATATTATATGTTAGTATTTGTTCACATCACAAAGCAGCTATAAAATAGTTTTACTGTGTATCTTCATGGAGGAAACGCTTGATAAAAGCAGGTCAGCATGCAGCCTTAATCTTTTCTACTTTGGTCACTGATGTTTCTGGAGTGTCTATAACAAGGCCTTTGTTATACAAAGTTTTTAAATGTTCATTGAATACTGAAAGGATGAATGAATGATTTAATCAATCAGTTTAATTAGAAAGTCTACAACATATGTAATAACCAGTTTTTGATCTGAGCATCATCATTTAAAACATTAACTTAACCCATAATTTATTGCTTCTGATTCATGATAAGGAATACAAAATTATATAAAACCCCCAAAATGCTTAAAACTCCAAAAGATTTCAGCCCACTCTGCTCAACTGATACTGTCACTTACAAGCCTAGATATAAAGTGATAATGAGAAGCACATAATTCATATTAGTAGTAGCAGACTTAAGTTTATTTGTTTATGTTTATTTCTATGTATGTGCCTTTTTTGTGTACCATGTGTGTGCACTCCCCTCAGATTCCAGAGGAGGGCACTAGATTTCCTTGAGCTGAAGTTACAGGAGGTTGGGAATAGCCTGATGTGAGTTCTAAGAACTAAACTCCAAAGCTCTTAAGTGTTCAAAGATGTGGATTTTTATGATGAATACTATTCTTTTCCTTTTCTTAACTATTGCAATAAATATGGAGATATTTTGAGTATACCTCAGAACATGAATTTGGGAGCACCCTTTAGTTGCCTGCAAACCCAGTCACTCAGTAGAGACACAAGGGTTAAAAATAACAACAGGAACAGACAGTAACACAAGTCATTAATATGAGCTTTACAAATGTATGCTTGTACTTAATTCAGTTCATTTGCTTTGAATAAAATATCCAAGAATTTTGCCAATATCAAGTTCTTACAGAACTGATAGATAATTAAAGGGAGTGAGAATTGAGCCTAACAGCCAGAGTCATCCAGAGCAAAATTGACTTGTCTGTCCCTTATCATTTTGGGAATGGATGGATTATTTAATGTACCAGAACTGATAGTGAAAGGACTAATCTAGGACAGGTTCAAGGAAGTTGGAAAGTACCAAGATGAAACAAATGTTGATTCAACTCACATTTCATTCATGACTCATTTTTAAATTTTCAGAATAGCACTGAGTGGTAACTAGGCAATTAAAATAAGATGATCTCCAGAAGGAGTCTTGTCATGGGTCCTGGCCATTACACTGGCATGTCTGAGTGCTGTCATTCATTTGTGTCACCCTCTCAGGACTCTTGCTACTATTGTTCAAACAGTTTTAAATGTTCAACCTTGTGGTTAGTGCTGAGAAGTATGCAGCGTATACATGTTTCAAAAGAACTGAATGCTTTCACATACATAAGGATTCCCAAATCACCATAATAAATAGATAAAATAAATAAATACGTATATTAAACAATTTATTTAAATATTTGTTCTTTAATTTTAATTTTGTCCTAGAGGATGAAAAAATAAAAACAAAAAACAACAACACCAAAAACTATTTTCTTCTAAAGGCACTCTAGTCAGCCCAAGCATGGCAAATAGGGCCTTGCCGTTTTCCTCATTTCTTTTGTTTTGCTGAAAACCATTAGATTATATTCTTAAAGATAGCACCAAACTCTATTCCCTTATTTGGCCACTTACTCCTCCTGAGGTCCACTTATCAAAGTACAGAAGTCCAGCAATCAAATAGCCCCCGTGGCTCATCTAGTAAACATGCTTAACTAAAATCAAACACCTCATTCTAACATCGTATCATTTTTTCCTTTAGATACTTCCTATGGGCTATGTCTGTGATTTATTTCAACAGAGGCATTCCTTTGCCCCCACTGCCCCAACCCAGGACAAATATCTCTCACTGTTCTCTTTCCCTTCTCCCTCACTCTGTATCTCTTTTCTTTATCTCTTATTTCCTGCCTTTGTCTCTCTTCTCCTTTGTGCTGTGCACAAGGTCTTAGGGGCCCTGAGCCTATACTAATCCATTCAGTTTCTCCTGCAAGGTTTTGAAAATTAATATTTCCATTGAATTAGAAGGTGTGTATCGAGTCTAAAACCCACTAGTAGGAAATTCCCAGTCTGACAATATCTGTTCAAGACTATAAGCTGGCTTTCCTTTCTGTCTTTATGATGTCCTGGGTAGCAGTGTGGACAGCACACTACCACCAAGATCATCTGTTTGCCCCACTAAGTTTTGTAACCTGCTCTCCAAGGAAGTGAATTCATAGACCTCTGAGATGAACCTTTTCTGAGTCCCAAGGACTCACTTGACTAATTATTAAGCTGTCAATTATGGTGCTGAGGAAAACTCATGGAAGAGAGCATCTGTCACAATGTTGAAAATTATTTTTATTAAACTCATCATGAATTGTAACTCTCCAAACAAGTGGTAGCATAGTATATAATCTAAACATTAGTATAAAGCCCCACGGGCTAATGAGAAAGGATGAGAATACACTAGCAAATACAAGCTTCTCTTTGCCTCCTCATCCCTTGGAAAATTCAAAGCATGTATCATACCACACAGTCATAAGTAAATAGATGTTTTGATAAAGCATAAATATGGCTGACAGCTCATTGAATGGAGTGCTAGAAAAAGACAGAAGAGAAACTGCGGTGTGTGGTGCCTTGATTGTACAAATGGGCACTTGGAATTGATTTCCTTGGAGATATGGTGTGGCTATACAGCAGTGGATCCCCCATTAAACCTACTGATTCAGAACCTCTGGATAGACTGCCCAGGGAGTCTACTCTTTTAGGTGACACCAAAATTTGAATAGCATAGATAGTAAACACACTGGAGAAAATCCTCTCTTCTCTTCTCTTCTCTTCTCTTCTCTTCTCTTCTCTTCTCTTCTCTTCCCTTCCCTTCCCTTCCCTTCCCTTCCCTTCCCTTCCCTTCCCTTCCCTTCCCTTCCTTTCCCTTCCTTTCCCTTCCCTTCCCTTCGCTAGGAGACAGGAAAGTCAACATGAGTGATCTTCAAAATAATGGAGGTTGAGTACTATACACATCATTATGGGGAACACAGAGACTTAGAAAATATGCACACATGTGGAAAATGAAGAAGATAAAAGCTAGTCAACCATATGAAGAACATAAAAAATGCCTCCTCTTGTACTGGAGGAGATTTTAATAATTATGAAAAAATTACTAAGATGACTGTAAATCTCTTGTCAACAGAGTGCTTCATTTTTAATATAGGTTCTTCAAGATGCCTTGACAATTGGGAGCTCTTCATTTTCTGAGGACTCAGGGAAGTGTAAAGGCAGGTGCAGCCATGCAGAGATGAGAACAGAGGTGGAATGTCACAAGCAGCAGGTAAGAGGTCACAAGTGATGTGATCATGGGGTGAACACAGGGCTCAATGTGATACCTTTACCTCTTACTGAATTGTCTAACAGGTTCCAGTAAGTGTCGTTTTTGTAAAAATCCTTCTCACTGATATATTCACTGACAATCAGGCTAGCTCAGTTCCTTCCATCTGTTAGTAGATAACCAACAAGTTTGCTTTCAGACATCAGTTCCCTCCTTCCAACACCCCAGGCTCTCTAAAGCTCACCAAGTAGACTTTGTTACTACATCATAGTAAATAGACAATCTGCAAAATTAAATGGAAAAGTTTGATCTTCTTTCCCAGCAAGGACAAGTTTCCAGATAAATGGTTTAGTACAGGTTTAATGCAGACAGTGGCAAGTGTACACTGGTTTGTAATAGCAAAGAGACAATCAAAACCCACCTCTGCATTTTAATGGTTCTATTGCTAACATCCTTAATTTATATTTTAACCATTTTGTTTCTAACTTCACGACTATAATGATCATACCATCAAGTGCCACATGAAAGAAATACTTACAGTGTGTGGAATTCAATGACTTCACTCAAGAGCTATTGCTAATTAACTCCACTTTAGAACTTGAAATAATGTCAACATTAAACTTCATTGGCCAGTGGCATACAATGGAAGATAGAACAAAGTAATAATAACAAAATTTTAAAGCAGGTATAGACATGTTTTAGAAATTATCTATGCTATTTTACTTCTGAGCTGCTTGTGTGTGCCTACAAATAAAAACAATCTAGCTGGCTCTCCAAACAAACAAAGATAAAGCTATAATCTTAGGTATCTCTATATTCTATCATGATGGGATCTCACTAGGCATATGCATGGCATTTAGAAATATGTATGCCTTGGAAGGCATATTCATGAACAGAGGTTAAGAATACTTTAGTTTGGAAAAGCACATACAATACATTTTCTGGAAATGATTTAAATATTTAGGAGGAAAAATAACTTCTCAATCCTGCTTGGATGGACTGAATTCTTAGTTATAGGTTAGTACAAAGAACTTTTTCCAAGGATATATATGCACTATTTTTATTTTCTTATTTTTTTTAACTTCAGCCCTTTTGAATTCTGGTGATTGACACTTGGTTTTTAAGAGGTTATTCTGGGGATGAAATCATCCCCATACATTCTTATAAGGAGATAGAAACCACTAGAAATTCCTTTTCACTAAAGTATATTAAAGAATTACCCAACACTGGATCCCAGAGACTATTTATGAAATGAGAGTTCTTCTGATCTTTTTCTTATAATATTTATCTTGGTGGAATGAGAGTTTAACTACCTACTACTCAAATAGAGGCAAATTGTTTTGAAGCCGTTTTCTTTGAAGGGTTGGGCTGGAATGTTCTTGCCTTCCAAGCATGCATATTTCTAAATGCCTTGCACATGCCTAGTGAGAGCCCAGGTTTTGTTTAGTGGATTTCCAGATTTAATGGAACTGGTGAACTTTTAAGGAAGCCAATTTCATGAGGTAGAGTATATTAAATATAAGCAAGTTAAGTGTAATAGAATATATTAAAAATAGACTCAGGAAATTACTATGCTAAGTAAATACTGATGTTAATTAAGAAAAATGTAACTAACAACCCCTTTCTATTAATTTTGAAGTTAACAAACAATGTGAAGGGTTTCATTGTGCCATTTTCATAAGTACATTCACGTTTGCCACTCTTTTGCCTGTCTCACTATTCGTGTGTTCTTCTTCCTCTCAGATGTTTCCCTCCTCCTCTCAGTTGCTTCTTTCCTCCTCTCGGATACTTCCTTCTCTTGGAAGCTTCCCTCCTCTTAGATGCTTCTCTCCTCTCAGATACTTCCTCTTCTCAGATGCTTCCCTCTTCTCAGATGCTTCACTCATTTTATGTCTCATGTATTCATCTCATAGGAATTTTGACCTCCATCTTGTCTTCCTTAAGATTTCGTCCTCTCCTTTCATGACCCCCTTTTTATTTTTATATCACACATACACACACACACACACACACACACACACACACCTTAAATAGTATGATTTATAATTTAAAGGACAAGAACATTCTATTTGAGAGCTATATCAGATCTTTCAATAAGGAGGGAATTGGCATGAGACCTGTTTGACTGGTCATTTAGCTTCAAAATCTTCAGCCTTTCAGGAAATGTTAAAGAATTAATTATCTTTCTTTCCTTCTTAATTCACAGTAGATTATGAATGAAATTTTATTTTTTTGACTTTTTTTTCTAGGACTGACATGAAATTCCAAATTTTACATGTGAGTTATTTTGTGAGTTATTTCCAAGAAATTAGAAATTATTTTATGTAATAAAAATTTAAGTTAAAAGGGGTCAAAATATAATTAGGTAATTTTGTGAAAATCATTTATTCAATTTAATAAGTAATATAACAATAGGCAAAAAGTTCTAATTGTCCCTGGTGAACAAATTACCCTCTCATTTATTTCTTACATGTGAAGCTACTTTAATTCATTTTGTTTGAGCAGAAATTATTTTATTTCCTACCATATTTCATTCCTACTGCATTTAATTCAGTTGGTGATAACTTAGTGTTGAGGTTTGGCAGTGTACTTCCTGTTACAGAGCTCTGTAACATATATTCATCTGCTTGACATTATAAAGAAAGACCCACAAGTAACTTTTATTCAGATGACATCTGTAATTTTTTACTTATCAATTAAACAATCAACTGTCTACGCACAATGTAGATTAATTGTGTTTATAAGCTAAGAAACATCCTCAGATATAATGTCTTAAATCTATTAGAATTTTTTTCAAGCTATGACAGCCTAATGATTTTTTTAATATCTCACTCATTGTTGTAAAAGAGTAATAGGATTCATAAAAAGGTACAGGATGATTTGACGGTCCTTGTTAAGTGTACTGACAGAGACATTTGCCCATGCTTTATAGAAATGAATAACATGAACATTAGATGTCATCGGTATGACTAATAAATCAAGAGCCAGCTTCCTTTAAGTGTATCATGTGTGAAAGGACCACTGGTTGTTGACTTAGCAATATGAAATTGGGACTTAAATAGTGAGAAGACATAAAACAAAACATTGTGTCTCTAAACAATATAACTATCTTGTGTCCCAGTGTCCTCGTCTCTCGGGTTGAGATTGTGCTGGGCTGCAGAGAGGCATGGGAGGAGGCCTGACTGTACAGAAAGTGCACAGAGCACTGAGTGTCCTGAGTTAACACGTATCAGACTTCTGAAGCAGAGAGAGAGAGAGAGAGAGAGAGAGAGAGAGAGAGAGAGAGAGAGA